TTTATAGTCTCTATCTGCTATATTGCTTTGTTGTACATGAATGTCAGTAGAAAACATTGCTTTTTCTGTGTATATCTGTTGAAAGTGTAGAGAGGATTAGGTGAGCAATATTACTTTACTTCCTATAGTAATTCTGAACTCTAAATAAATTTACATAATGATTTTCTTACTTAAAGCATGTCCTTGCAGTACATTTGGTTACAATACTGATAATATATATATTTGAAGTGCAACCAATTGGGTGTTATTTAATATCACAACCGAGTTTCAACAAAAATTAAACTACTTAATTAGTTAACTACCTAAAGAGACTGTCATTTCTGTTAGAGAGAATTGGACAAAATTCCACCTATCGTTAATTTAAATCAAAGAATGCTTATGTTTACAGTAAATATGGATTGTATACAAGTTCCACTTTTGGCAAAAGTGCTCTTTGGCACCAAACAAGTGTCGGGTGGCCTGTAATTATTATTCTCTGCAACACGAATATTAGAAACATCAATAAAGTATTCGCTGGTTTTGTTTGATGGACCCTGAGCGATGTCAAAATTAAGTTCCAGATCTCAAAGACCCATGAACCCTTAGTGAAATTGAAAATTGTAATCATGTCTGAGACTGTATCGCCTTTGGAAAGCGGTGTTTCCTTGAAACCGAGTCTCGAGCTGACCGAGGATCCCGATTCTCCTATGTTCAACCTGCTTGCAGTTGACCGGTACAGCGAATCGGAGTCACAGATCGGGAACAGCGGTAGCGAGGACAATTGCAGCCTGGTGAATTCCCATGGGACCAGCGGGAACACAGCCACCAGCAACGGGAATAAGGAGTCCTCGGGGAAGAACCACTCCCTGACCGGGCAGTATAATCAAAACGGGTCGCTGTCATCTTCCAATGAGATGTCAGGACAGTTCGCGAATGGTCACGCGAGCAACGGCAGCCTCGAGCACGCCTCCCTGAAAGAGAACACTGGAAAAGAAGCAGCGAAAAGCAAAGCCGCGAACAGCGCGAAAAAGAATAGCAATAAACGATCTAGGAATAGGTAGAACCCCGCAGTGCTGGCATCTTCTACCGGCGATTCCCGCCGCGAATCGAACGAACACCTTCTTCTGCGAATCACAGTTTCATTTTGCTCACACGATTTTATCGATGTACCGAAATCACACTCTATTTTATAATAAATGCACCACGAACGTTGAACTTGTACTGAACTGTGACAAGCGTCGATGACGCTCTTGAATAGAGGATAACAGATTAGGTGGTGCGATGGGGTCGGTGGACCGGAAGTGGAGGAATTTGGGAACCTTTGGGCTCTGTATCCAGTAAAGGAGTGTTACAACATCTTCTGTAGCTATTTAAATTGGTTTATCTGTGCGAAGTAAGAATATTTTATCTTTGTCCGAGCTTTTAAGAGGACACTTTATTCTTGTAGGTGAGAAAAGTGGATGGACAAGGATTTGGTCAGTGGTTCACCATCATTTATCCTTATTTTCTTAACTTCGTCTGTCCCTTGGTATCAAATTGGCAACATCACAAAGTTAAATTTGTAAAATCCTACTTTAACAGTGAGAAACGGTTAATGTAAGACTATTTGTGCATTGTTCATTGTTAATTGATTATCATGCTGGACACATATTACTTTTTCAGAAACTGATACCGGGAACAGATGCGATTTAGTAAAATGAATTTGAAAGGTGGTATACATGGATTAAAGTTTCTAGCTTCTTTGCTGGATGTTGAGCTTTCGGTCTGAAAATAAAGTTATTTTTCTGTGGTCTCCATTATGAAGTGGAGCTTGTTCATAGTGCAGCGGTTGTGGCACAGTGTAAAATCGAATTGGAATTGAGAACAATGAAAATCAAAATGAAAGACGAAGGATTTTCTTTGGTTTTATAGTCAGACGAACAGTATTTGTTAGGTTTAAGATTGAAAATAGCGCAGGTCACGACCTAATATTTTTTTAATTCATGTCTCTTGTACTTTTTAGCGTTTCTTTGCAACAAATAGCCAGCCTGTTTTTTCATAACAGTTAAAGTTCGTGGTATTTTGGAAGTAGCAAATACGAGTACAAGAGACGCCGATTTTAATGTTTTTTAATAATCATTTTGTAATACACACTCACACACACGCAAATACAGTATCGGAATTGTAGTTGTAGTGTACAATTAAGATTAATTTGATTGCACAAAGAACTAACGTTAGATTTTCAACATTTCTTTGTAATTTTAACCGTTGGAATCGTTTGATTTTCAACCATTTTTAGGATCTTTCGAAATAAATCTTTACTCGATTATTGTGTTCTGAATGTTAAGTAATATTATATGTAAGTTTTTTCACGCGACTATTCAACCTGAAAGATCGAAATTTTAAGAAAAGACCTATAAAAATTCCAAAAAAAAGTATTTTTTTGTAACCAGCGTACTCGAGTGTTTATAGTGTTATAAATAAATTATTCGGAAGTAATCGAACGCTTATTGAGCTTTCTTATTATTTATATTTTTTTGTGATTTCAGTTCTAATATCGTAAATTGAATATTTTTGACCAAAACATCAGGCTCTTTGAATAAATTCGAGGACAGGAAAAAGAAGCATTTTGGCTTGGACCAAAGATAATTTGTTTCGAATTGAATTATTGACATAACTTATCATTGCAAAAATATAATAAAATTGTCTGTTGGCTTTTATGAAACAAAATGGCTGGCAGAACGAAACGCAATGGCGGCGGTTCCAATGATCACGTGCGACGAAATAATTTTAATTATGGCTGTAAATCGCCTAAATATGTATGTTCAATAATGTTGATTATCTAAACGAACCACTAAACTCTACTAACAGGGACTACATACTGCCTAAAACAATTAGGGAATCACGTTAAAAAATGAGAGATATGTACTGAAGAATATAATATTTTTATGTTAATATATAAACTAATTTAACGCATTTGTTTACTCTATCCTCTCTCCCACTAAAATGTTATTGAAAAAGAAAGAAGCAGCAAAGCCAACACAAAAAAATATTTTGATGTTCACTATTGTACATTGTTTTGTGTTACTTAATTTTTCTATTTTATCACAATATGTCTTTGATGTTAAGTTAATACTAAACAAATAATCTATAAAATGTGAACGACTGGAAATTGTTAAAAGAGAAAAGTGTTACACCGATATTTCTATTAGCAAAGTAAGTTCAACGAAACAGTTCCCGATTCTTTTAAAGTTTAACGTGATCCTCTAATTTTTTTAGCGATAGCTTTTTGTTTAGAGGATAAATAGATAATCCGACATAGAAAATCGATTCAGCGGGGACGGGGAAGAAGCGTAGCCGGCAGGAACGCCTTCAAGTTTGCTTCCGGTTTCAAAATTTTCGGTGGCTCATTCCTGGTGACGACTGCGTTGAACCCGTTATGATTGTCCGCAGTATAAGTAACTGTCCTAATCGATCCATCAGCTTCGACCACCGAATATTCCCCTTTCACTGTGTCACCGTCCCTTTCCTCCCACGCAGACTTCGAATCACCTGTATAGCCGTCTAGGACGCCATAGTTGAACGAATATTTCGGGTAAGCCTGCAGACAAACGTGAACGATCATGCTCATCCGAGTTGCACACCAATAAATAAAATTTCACCGAAAATATAGTATTCAAGAATTATTAAATTTTCGCAGCCTTAGACAAGCGATTAATAAATTACATAGGCGTAGGGCTAGCACAGGGAAATTCACGGCAACCCGAAATTTGGCATTTCCGGGAGAAATCATCTGGAAATAATTGTTCTAGGATTTCAAGTAGTCGAGATAAATTCAAATTGGCGGTGCCGTAAGCTGGAGGAATCCTCTAAAAATATTTCTACTCGTTCAGAGGTGAATAAATAATGTGTAAAACGATTTTAAAAAAATACGGTCGCAGAGTTTTATACAATGTGTTGAGAAATGATTTGTGTAATTTACCGAATACTCGGTTTCTTTCTCGCTTTTCGTGTCCCTCGCGACGACGGCGGACGCTGTTTTAAAGATGGCGGGCGCGATGTAGACCAACGACGAGGATTTTGGAAGTAGCCTGTACGAAATTGGCGTGGCAACTTTCACGTACGTTGGCAGGGGATCCTTATTTCCGGTTTGAAGAGTACAGGCCACGGGAACCGCAGCGGCTCCTTCCACGGGAATTGCGTCGATCGGAGCGCAGGGGAACCTGCTGAAATTCAAATATCAACGGAACTATAATGTGAATGGATAGCTTTTTTTTACAAATTTTTGCAAATATTTTTTGTCGCGATCATTTTATTAACGATCACAATTATTTGTAAAATTAGATGCTAAGCATTGAGAATTATTGTGGCCTTACTTCTGTAGAGCACCGGCGATGATGGTATCCATGAAACAGCAGAAAATTACCACCTAAATACCACAAAGAACATTGTTAGTCTCAAACGATAATTACATACATAGACAGTTGTAAAACTGGTTGTAGAAAATTAGTTATAAAATTATTCAATTAGATAAATATAAATCTGTAACGATACTGTTATTGCGCTAAAAATAAACCGTTTCGTTTGAAGCATTAACGAATGAATAAATAAAAGTATCAGTTTATTAACGAAAAATTAATGGCCGAATTTTCGGGATCTCTTTATGGTAGATTTTTAATAATTCTCGAATCTTGTTGTTCGTTGCAGGAGCAAAGTTAACGCGAAAGCTCGATCTATCGCGCATGCGTGCACCAGATACTCGTTGCACAATGCGTCGCAGCTCGAGCTGCATGGGAGTGCCAGTGTAAATTCTTCACTAACACACGCGCAGTCGGATCAGCGGTTCTCGAGCACACGATGGTTTGCGGTAATTTGATTTTGTTTGAACAAAAATATCTGTCGAGATTATCTCGCAGTAATTTCACGTTAAATGCGATAAATTCGAAATAAATTTGGAAGAGCTTTGATCGAGATTTTGCAACGAAATGTGAATATCAAATTCGCGGAAATAAATAATTAATTAAGGTAATTCGAAGATTTAAGTAACTTCGAACCGTTTGTGCGCCACGCTGATTCTGCAAAAAAAAGAGATGAGGCAACTTCAATGCGCGCAATGCGCTTCCATTCGCAATGGAGAACGAATGAAGTAGTTGGAAAAATTACGGTGTACGCGGAGACAGTCGTTGATGTCTCCTGCTTTAATTGCAAACCACTATATTAGGCAATCGTACTTTCAACGAGCGATCTTAAATGGCCGCGCGATATAAAAAGTGATCGGTGCGTTTAGAAAACGATCGGATGCCTTCGTTCGTTAATTTTGCAACTGTTAGCCTTAAAACGAACGTTTCTCGCTCGAGATCTGCAATACGTGATATTTATTAACGGACTGCGGATGTTATATGCATTCATTGTAAAAATTAATTAACGACATTTAAGAAGCAGAAAAATTTGGGAAAATTTCACATTATCCATGCGTTATTTTTTAACTCGCCGAAATCGTTAAAGAAACTTCTATTAAGCCTGCTGAAATTGTTAAACCCTGAAGTTGTTAAACCCCAATCTACTTATTAATATTATTCATTTCTCCGTAAAGAATATATTTACTTCGTCGTCTTTTCGATGTCACGATAATAAAACACGCAAACCCTGATAAATAACTGAACGTTATCGAAAATAATCTAGCGAGATTCGAATTAAAAAACGGTATGTCCCGAAAAATTATAATCAAAATTGCAAAATGTCATTTTCTTCTTCAAATAATGACGCCGAATACTTAAGGAAAGTATTTAATCAGTTTCGGATGTTTTTGGGCGTGACGCACATAATTAATAATGATACTGACCTTGTTGACGAAGTGTTTGGAGCAACCGGGCTTCATTTTATCGGAATAATGAATGATCACAGTTGATTCAAGAGATTCTAGAGGCTCTTCAGTGTCACTTATGCGTAATAGTTATGCGAAACCAATCACATTTTATTGTCGCGAAGAAACTGTGTCTCGTTAAATTGTTTAAGGGATTTTGTCACAGGTTTCTGTCACCGATGTTACATGCACGTGTACACTTTCGCACCGGAGGAAATTTGAAGGGTATCGAACGGAACCTTCGCGGCTGTCCTCCGAAGAATAGGACATCAGCATCCAGCTCATCTTTATATACGACTTATACAGGGTGCTCCGAACTGCGGTAGTTAAACTTAGTAGAGCTAAATTAGAATAGTAATTGCAATCGGACTGAAAAATAGATCGAAGTAGCATGTAGTAATACTTTCGTGGATACACTGCATAATTTCTTTTTTTTTTAAACTATCTGATATCATTTTATGCTCGATTGTTAATTAACCGCAAGTTTTGTAACGCGGTTCTGTTAAATTGTTATCTCTATCGTTGCGTACAT